CGTGGCCTAGCTTCTGGGGCGTAGCTCGGCATCTGAGGCTGCCGGGGCGTGGCCGAGCTCCTGGGGCGGGGCGTTAAGAGTTGTTGCCGGAAACTGACCTCAGTCTGTGGCTTCCGGAAGTGGAGTGGCTTCCCCGGTGCGCTTCTGGTAGCGGCGGTGGCGACGTTTGCAGTCAGCAGGCCAGCGACCGAGATGGCAGGCACAGCTGCCTCTGCAGCCGTGGTCCCCACCCTGGCTCCGCCTTTGGAGCAGCTCCGGCAGTTCGCAGGGGAGCTGCGGTTGCTCATGCCTAGAGTGCGGGGTGAGCTGTCGCAGTTGGGGTGCGCAATGATGGGCGGGTTGGGATGGGGGAAAGGTCAGGCTGGGGCGGCGGCAGAGGTCGGGGCGGAGGAGGTGGGGGGCGGAGGTGGCTCCGCTTACCCCAGCTTTTCCTTTTGCCACCGCCCGGCCCACGCACGCCACACCCACAAGTCGGCGAAGCCCTGGAGACCACCGAGGAGTTTAATCGGGAGAAGTTTTGGTCGAGACTTAGTGAGTGCTGCCCATGTCAGAGACCCCCATCTCTTGCCTCTTACATTTATTCTTGGGCCTTTCTCCACCCTGAGCTGCGTCCCAACCCTTTTCCCTCCCACTTTCCCCCATGGAGGTGGCTTCCCTCCCTCGCTGTATCCTCACCGTGGGGGTACCTCATCTTACCCATCCTTGGCACGTGGAAGGTTGAAGTTTAAAACACTGATTTTTGGAGGTGTTTTTGAGACGCTTCAGCCGGTAAGGGTGAAGAGGGAACGCATTATCTTTAAAGTCTGTGCAGCAGCCGCAGCCTTATCCTTTTGGCACTAACATATTGGCGCCTGCCTCCTCCTCTTCCACCCTGCAGATGAGGCGGCTGTGACAGTGGCAGGAGAAGCCACGACTCTGACCGCAGCCTTCTCCAGACTTCCACTGCCGTCTCCACAGGTGGGCTTTACTTCCGTGGTATCCTTGTGCTGCCTCGGTGTTGCCTAAGAATCCTCTCATTTTCTTTCCACCTTTTACACTCAAGCCGGAGGACTTAATTCCCTCATCTGTCAAATGGGATTACAGTTCTAACCTCAAAACATTGTTGTGAAGACCAAATAAGGCAACGTGTGTAAAATTGGCAAGTGCGCTACCTAGCAGGGAGTAGACAGGTCTTCTAAATGTTGGTTCAATTTAAAGTTCAGCCTGGTTAGTTCCTTTCTGATAACTTTTTTTTAAAGGCACTTTCTGTTTGCTACATGTTTTCACATACATCAACCCCATCTGACAGAAGAACCAGCAGGCCCGGAGGCTCAGGTAATGGTAAATAAGCAATGGAGCAAGATTTAAATTAGGGTCTATCGGGTGTCTAAGCTACATCTTTTCTGCTGTATATACTACATAAAACCCTTTTTGAATTATTTTTATTATTTTTATTGTGATTTAGGTGAAAGTTTTCAGAGCAAATAGTTTCTCATTAAACAATTGATACACATATTGTTTTGTGACATTGGTTGCCAACCCTGCAATGCGTCAACACTCTCCCCTTCTCCACCTTAGGTTCCCTGTTTCCATTCATGCAGTTTTCCTGAATTATTTTTATTGTTTATATTGAATTAGTAACATGTATATGGTAATGAAATTCAAAAGTTATCAAAGTATGTTTAAAAGTTTGTATCTCCCAACTGCAGTTTCTCATTTTTGCCTCCCCTCCTCAGTTCCTTTTGTATTATTCCATATCTATTCTATGCATATACACATCAATGCACATGAATGCATTCATGTGCATTTATGTGTATATGCCTGCTTCTCTTTACACAAATGATAGAGCACCATAAATACTGCTCTAGACCTGGAACTTGGAACTATCATCAGTGCTGTGGTGAACTGCCTGCTCCTGTCTTTGTGTGTGCATATACATAGGTAGAAAAAAATTCCCAGAAGTGAAATTACTAGAACAAAGAATTACACATTTTAACCCTTTATTATAAAATTAATGAAAATAAATATGCAGGCTAGGACCAGGTATGCCCAGTTTTTCTAGAGCTAGGTATACCTAATTTGGGGGTAAGATTATTTAAAAGTGGCATATTCATTGACTTTTTTAATTCTCATGGTCAGTAGTTTCAATCTCTTTGTTCAGATGCTTTGAAATGATATATTCTTTCACTGAACCATTCAGTGATAAACCCTGTTCTCCTGTATATCTCAGAGATCTGTGATGAGGAAACGAGATGGCTTGTAGGAGAGCACTTTAAAAGCTTCATGGAAGAAAGTCAGTATTTCTGTCAGAGGGATTAGTAATAGTACCTTTTTTATTTTTCTTAATATCTGGACTCCTTTCTTTCAAATACACTTAGGACTTGCTAAAATTCATAGCTAGTAAGATCCCACGAGGAGGCAGCATAGAACTGTTTTTCTGTACATGCTCAGTACAGTGGTTTTACTCATAGATGAAAATTTAAGGTTAGAATTTGGTTTTATTTGAATGACAGATATATGGGATCTCAGCACCTTAGTCTTTCTGTACTTTAAAACACGTTAAATACTGATGTAGTCAAAACTACAGAGTTGAATGAGCTCTTACCGTTTTGAGCAGTGATCATTCAGGATCTTCTTTGTTTTTGTTTTTTAAATTCTAATCCATTATGGACTGATATTTTTATAAAACTGTGTGCTTGGATGCTACACAATGTCAAATTGCTGTAAAAGTTTCTACATACGTATTCTCAGTCACTGTGTTTATATCATCCCAGACTGGTAATAAACAGTTTGTGGATTGGCACCACCGTGTGGGCCACACTTGGCATAGCACTGGCTTAGAATTTAGCAGGTAAGTGAAAACAAGGAAGGTAAAAGAAAGCCAGTGACTGCTTCAAAGGAAGATAGTCAGCACTTGGCATTATTGAGTCTGTGTGATTCTATTAAAAAAAGAGAGAATGTGGGGAGGGGCAAGGGAGATATAATGGTCTAAGACAGGAGTTGGCAAATAGTAGATAATTTGTGTTCCAGTAATACAGTGAAACTTGTATTACTGAGAGCCAGAACTTGACGGCTGCCTTGTTTTTCCAGGTCTTACTAGTTTTCTGCCTTTGACAGGGTGTAGTCTTACCACTTTTCTATCACTTAGTTGAGTGGAAAATATTTGAGTTTTCTTTCTCTGACAGGTTTCCACCTTACACAGGTTCCGACAGTCACAGGTTTTACTGTACTTTATTTACAGACATTGGCAGTGGGCTTGATTTGGCCTGTGGGCTGTAGTTTGCCAGCTCCTGGTCTAAGATACAGTGAGTACCTCACAGCAGATCACTAACATCTTGAGATATAGAGTGTCAGAGATAAGTCTTCCCTATTGTTTGTTAATGTTTTATTGAGTTGTCTGCCCAGAATCTGGTGTCTAGCTAACTCCTCCCTGGTACGTGATGAGTATAGCACAAGGCCTTACTCGTGGTATGACTTCACAATATTTGATGATGCTGTACAAATGTTGTTCTCTTCCACATTATGATACATTGACCACATTGATCTAATCCATTTCCTGTTTTTATCCTGCACTTGGTCCATCACCTCACAGGAAACGCAGAGGTTCTGTGAGTCAATCCGTGTTGCCACCGAGGCAATTATTGCAGTGTACTACTCGCTTCCCAAGGATCAGGGTGAGTAAGCCACTGAGTACACATAGTGTTCAGTTTGTAGGGTAGCTGTTTGCTGCTGTGACAGGTTATGTCCTGAGACCTTTACTCTTACCCCAATTTGAGCATGTAACTTTCCCCCGTAAGATGCAGTCACGAATAATAACATTAAGTGACCTCTGCCAACAAGTAGCAATGAGAAGGTATGGATGCTGTGTTCCCTGTGACTCCCAATATCTCCTACCTTGCCTGACTCTAAGGCTTTTAATTCTTCTCACTGGCTCTTCCTTGTCCAGCCCATTGTAACCATACATCTGTGTCTCAGCCCCATAGCCAGGCCCATGCCATCCCCACTCTCTTCCACCCGTATTACATCACACCCTCTTTTCAAGCTCCCTTATGGGTTGTGTCCTCTAGCTGTGTTTGTGGATTCATGCCTTTACAAAAATACAAATGAATATGTGCCACAGATCTTCAGGGTTACCCACAAATGGTTTAGACTTCAGTGTTTCATCCACAGTTGTCAAGGGACTTCTGTCCTTAATGAATGAATACATGCTGTTACGGAAAGATTTGTTCCAGATCTCTTTTGGAGAACAGCACTGAGTGGAGGGAGGGATAAAAAAAAATGACAAGGGCGTATAAATAAGACCTGAGTTCTATGGTGGGCACACTATTTAAAGCATGTGGGTTACCTGATGGTTCTGTAATGCTTAGACCCTTGGGAAAGCAGATGGTGACTTCTGAAAAGAAGACTGGGGCTGCTTACTCTTTGGGTTTGGCCGTAGGAATCACCCTGCGAAAGCTGGTACGCGACGCCGTTCTGGACATTGTGGATGGCATGGCTCAACTCGTGGAAGGGCTTTTCATCACTCCCACTCAGAGGTAAGGATGCCACAGATTGGACTATCACCTAATGGGGTTTCTTGCCTCAGGGAGGGAAAAAACTCAATCCAACAGCAAAATTACTGATAGCTAAAAATAGTAACCAGCAGGGAGGTGATTTTTAGGAGACAGGAACCTAGGTCATTGATACATCCTTATTGATTCCTCTCTCTAGCCCCGAGAACAAGGACCTTATTTTCTGCAACACTGTCTGGGCTGCCTGCCAGCAGGTGCCTCGGTTACCAAGAGGTGCGTGAGAATGGGAAGTGGGCCACTGACTCTGCTGGCCAAAGAAGAGAGACCTCTTCGTGTCTAGCTTCCAGCTT